ATCAGAAATTCATTTACAATCGCATTCATAGCGTATATCAAGAATTCAAGTTCTTTGAGAGCGAATGGTTTGTCTCGACTGCCAATGGATTCACAATTGAAGGCACAAAACAACTCATTAGCGAAGCTTTAAAGTTGGGACCCATTGGAGGGGTATTTCATTTGGCGCTTGACTTGAATGACTGTTTGATGGAAAAGTTAACGTTTGAAAAGTTCTGTTCATCTATTGATACAAAACACAAGATCTTCACAAATCTGGATCAACTGACCCGACAATTGGACTATAAATTGGATTATTTTGTTGTGTTTTCGTCCGTCACTTGTGGTAAAGGAAACGGCGGTCAATCAAACTATTCATTTGGTAACTCTATTTGNCTATAAATTGGATTATTTTGTTGTGTTTTCGTCCGTCACTTGTGGTAAAGGAAACGGCGGTCAATCAAACTATTCATTTGGTAACTCTATTTGCGAGCGTATATGTGAAGAGAGACGTAGGGATGGTCTGCACGGACTCGCCATACAATACGGACCCGTCGGTGATGTCGGGGTGTTTGAAGGGACGGATCAGTTGCTATTGTTATCAACACTGAGGAAACAGCGAATCAACTCGTGTTGCGATGTTTTGGACAAATTGTTGTCAATTAAACAACCGATTGTCACATCTTATGTAAATAACATAATTCCGAATTATTGCTATAATTTAACAAAATAAATAAATATAGGTTAAAGTGGACCAAACAAAGGAAGAGAGTAGTAGTCGAGGCAAACGTATGATCCGAGAACTGTGGCGAGCGTTGGGTATCGACCCGGAGATCACACCCAACCACTTGACTCTCGGCGAGATTGGCATTGAATCCATGTTTGCCGTTGAGCTGCAACAGGAGTTGGAGAGAGACTGGAATATGAAGGTATCGCTAAATCAGGTGAAAACCATAACCATCGGTATGTTGAAGGACTACGAGGCCGGCCGAGTTGGGGAAATCAAAAAGCATCTAGAGGATATCCGTAAGGCCAGAGCCGCCTTTCTAAAGCTGAAATTTTTAATACCCACTGAAACGCATACACCGCTCAACACTGTAAGGACTACGAGGCCGGCCGAGTTGGGGAAATCAAAAAGCATCTAGAGGATATCCGTAAGGCCAGAGCCGCCTTTCTAAAGCTGAAATTTTTAATACCCACTGAAACGCATACACCGCTCAACACTGTGACAAAAGGTACGCCCGTATACTTCATGCCACCCATTTTGGTGTCATTTGGCGCTATGGATGAGTTGGCCCAAAGGATTAACCGCCCGGTGATTGGTCTGAATTGGACGCGTGAGGTGAGCGCACTGACCACTATGAAAGAGGTGACCGCCTATTACGTGAAGTTACTGAAAACGCTTGAGCCGAAAGGCAAGTGCGATGTGTTGGGCTATTTCGACGGCGCCATCATTTGCTCAAAGTATCTGCTGAAAGGAATGGTTGGGCGGGCGGTCATTATCGATGTGATCAATGACACCCGCTTTCGGGACGAGTATATGACCGACGAGTATATACTCGAATATTTGCTATCATTCCTCTCGAACGCCATTCCCGACTCATTCAAAGAGAAAATACTGCGCGACCTCAAGAAGGAGCAGGGGATGAGTGGTAAGATCAAGTTCATTGTCAACGAGTTGGGCGACTTCGCCGGTAAAGGTCTGGTGGCCACTGATATGGAGGATATCTTTGAAGTAATGATAAACAGAATTCATATGCTTTCAAAATACCGAATGGAAAAGAAGAAGAAGTTGTCCAACAAATTGAAGACAACGATCGGTAAGAAGTGGTCCAAAAAGACGGGTAAACTCGTCGTTATTAAGCCGTTTCAGTTTGAATTGTGCGAAGACGTCGACGAGACTATGGAGAGGGCGCGCGACACTTATTTTCTACCTGGATCAAATGTATGTTGGGCAACTATTTTGTTATTTTTAAGTTGATTAATTGAATGCTGTATTGTTGGCCATTTTTTGTGTGAATGCAATTTCATTGTTTAGAATTAACTATATCTCTATGATTTATAATATTATTTTAAATTATTAGAAGCTTACCACCTAGACTAGTAATCACAGCTTTAATATTTTTCAGAGAAAGAGAGAGAGAGAGAGAGAGAGAGAGAGAGAGAGAGA